CCCCAAAACCCCAAAACCCCAAAACCCCAAAACCCCTAGGAAATCCATAGTGTAGAAACTACGCATATAATATTAAATAATTAAAGTGCTAAAGTAAATATGAGCCAAAACAAGAACTTTTTGGGCATCTCCAATAAGGATTACTATGACAGGATTTTTAGAGGTATGAAGGTGACTAGGTCAGCTTCGAGGAAAAATGCAGATGAGGAAAAGTTAGAAGAAATAAAAGACTTTGATGTAGGAGAAAATCCATCTGGAAAGCACAAAAGAAAATAAGCAAGGTAGTAAACGAGGCCGACCAGCTCGAAAGAAGAAGTCTAGCAAGTCCGAGAGTGATGATGAGCCGGATGAAGACTCATCCTCTGAACCAAAGAACAAGCTGGCAAAGAAAAGGAGCGACAAAGGGAAGGATAAACGTCAGTCAGACTCTGACGAAGAGAATTCAGATGAAGCTGCAAGTGACAGTGATGGATCCTTTGAGAAACAATCCAAAACAAAGGTAAGCGAGCGAACACTCTGATCCGTTAGCCGTATCCTAATCTCTTCTATAGAAATCTCCTAAGACTCCAGGTGGTAGGAAAGAAAACCTCTCGATCAAGAAGAAGCGAGATGCCAAGAAGTCTACCGATAAAAAGTCTGATGATGAATCAATGGAAGAAGAGCCTTCCCCTACTAAGCGCAAGAGAGGCAGACCCTCTGAGAAATCCAAGAAGTCTCAGAAGAAGAGTTCTTCTGAGGGTAGTAAGGATCATGAAATGGAGGATGAAGTACCTGTTAAAGTAACCCCCTTCATTCCCAAACCTAAGGAAACAAAGAAGGAGACAGACAGAAAAGGTAAAGTTACAAGTAAGAAAGAAAAGAAAATAAAAGATGTTGAAGTTGAGGAATCCAAGTCAGCCGTTAAGACTAGGAAGAGACTTGATAGAGGAGACACAGAATCTCAAAAATCTAAAGGCAGCAAGAGACATTCTGAAGGAAGACACCATAAAGCACCTGATATTAAGAGGAGAAAGACTGAGAAAGGAGAAAAGTCAACCAACCCAGAGAAAAAGAAACCTAAGAGGATCGAGTGGCAGTATGGCAAGTACTGCCCAAGAGAGAACTGGGTGGGAAAAACTGTGAAAGTCAAGTTTCCCGCCGAAAATCAGACAAAAGGGGCAAAATTTGAAGTTGGAACCATAAAAGACTTTAAGACAGATGAAAACGGCTACAAAAATGTGTTCGAGGTTGAATTCCAAAGTAAGAAGAAGAAGTGGGTCTACCTTAAAGAGTCCAAAATGTATGTCTTCGGGCAGGTTCTGCAACTCAGGTACTCTGAAGATACTTCTCAGATAGCTGTTATCAAAGAAGCCTATGGATTTTCTGGAAGTAAAAAGACAGCTATTCCTGTTCCTGTGATAGAGCTTATAGAAGCTGAGTACTTAACTGGAGAAGAGGCTAAATCTTCATCTGAAGAAACAAGTGAGAAAATCCCTATCCAATATTTCTTCTCAGAGAAGGCTAAGAAGATTCTTCCTGAACACATCCTGGAGTTTTCAAATTTCAGTGAGGAGGAAGATAAGATCATCATGAAGGAATGGACTAAAGGAGAGAAAATTATTGCTGAAATCCAAGATTACCATCAAAGGCATCTTGAATGGGTCCAGAAGTACAGTTGAATTGAACTTGATTCTGAAGAATCCCTGAAGGGATATATAGGAAGAGTTGTAAGAGTCTTTAAAGATGACCAATACCTGTCCAAAGCCCTCATACTAAGGTATCGCCATTAAAATCTAACACTTTAGAGTTCTGAATGAGGAAAATGAAGGAGAAATCGTGTACATCAGACATCTCAAAAATTCCAAGAGTAAATGGGTGAATCTTAAAGAAACCGATTCGTCTAAAGGAGGGAGCCTTAGCTTCAAGCTGGATCAAATTAAAGGAATGGTCACCTATGATTCACTGAGAAACACCATTTATCCTAAAACAAGGATGGCTCTACCTTATGTCTTCACTTACAATGACGAAAGGAACAGGACTCGTAAGCAAAATTTCAGTAATTACCTATAGTTATCGAACAAGAATGGCAATTTGGAGACCCATTCTTTAGAAGCGGTGTCTGCTCAGCCAGCACGAGCAAAGCAGAGGAGCCCTGCAAGGTCTGTGACCAAAGAATCGAAATGAACTCGTATCTATACTGCGACTCATGCGAGAGATATTTCCATTCAGGATGTTTAGAGGAATCTTTACAAAATATTCCATGCAGAGAAGAAACCTGGAAGTGTAGAAAATGATCGAAATGAGTAAACTGCGTTAGTAGTGTCTTAGAAGTCAAGGATTCTCACTTGGCAACATCAAGAATCTCTGGCTCAAGTAGGAGTAACCCGATCCTAACCTGTCGGGTTTGTAACGTCACAACACACCTAAAGTGTCTTCCAAGTGAGATGCAGAAAGCAATTCCATCGACAAAGCCTGGGAAACTAGTATCCTGGAAATGTAACAGATGTTCTATCTTCACTTGCCAGAAGTGCTCTATTAAAGTGTCTTGGAGGACAAGGAACAACAAGTGCTCTCGAGCTTTGGGTTACTGCCCAGAATGCCATAAGAAGAAGGTAAGGAAGGAATACTGCCCTATTTGCCTCCAATTTTGGAGTTATGACAAGAAGGAATCAGATTACTCCATGATTGAGTGAGGAGGCTGCAAAATGTGGGTTCACAGAATTTGTGATTACACCTTGACTGAAGAGGAATTCGCCAATTACGAGAATGGTCTCAACGGAGAATACTCATGCATGTTGTGTCGGCAGAACAAGAGAAGGAGATACCTGCTAAAAATCATCAAGATAGCCGAAGATAAGGATAAAGACAGATGGTTCCAGGAAGAATACGATAAAGAAGATTACAGAAGGATTATCAAGTCTCCTATGTATTTCTCTAAGATGAAGGAGAAGATAGATCAGTACCTAGTCAATGCAGAGTTGTTCAAAAATGACTTCATACTCATATTTCAAAATGCTTTTGACTATAACAAGCCGAAAGATCGTCCTTACAAAGAGGCGGAGAAGATTCATGAATTCATATCTGACCTGCTGAAGAGAAAGAAGGAAGGACTTGAAAGAAGACAGATGGAGAGCATTGAAGAACAAGAACACCAGAAGTGGGTCAGAGAATGTATCAAGAAAGATCCTAACTTCTTAGAAACTTCAGAATACATTGGCTCTGCCATGAGTGAAAGATTAAAGAAAAGAAAAGCTATGAGATATGTTGATGAAGACCAGTCTTCATTCAGTAAAGAAGAATATAAGTCCAAAGCCTATAGTGATACAAGAAGAGTATCTTCGAGGATCTCTCATGGTCAAAAGAGCAAGAATCCTGAATATGATTTCACTTCTGATGAAGAAATTGAGGAATTTAAGAAGCAAACAAAGTTTGATCTCAAGAAACTTGGAGAATATCCTTATAAAGCCAAGCATTTACTTGAGAAACCTGAGGAGCTAGAAGATCTGGATATTAAACAGTATTATGATAATCCAGTTAGGTGCTGATTTGATGATCCCTCATTAGCATTCTCTCCATTATGATTCCTATGTGGGGCTTTTGGCAATGAAGATGAGTTCCTGTTCTGTAACTTGTGAGGAGAGTCTTTCCATTTGTACTGCATTAAGTTCAAGGAGGAAGATAGAAATAAAATGCAAGAGTATTGGAAATGCTTGAATTGCAAGTACTGTGAAATCTGTAGTCAGGCAGATAGAGAGAAGAACTTACTCTACTGTGACCACTGTGACAAGGCTTTCCACACCTTCTGTCTAAAACCTCAGCTTTCATATGTTCCTAACTGTGGATGGAAGTGTAACCACTGATTCAAATGACTACAATGAGGAACAACAGACTTCTTTAAGAACCAGGCTGAGGAGATATCAGAGCAAAACATTGATTACTCGATCTCAAAAGACTTCTCCCTGTGTCTTCAATGTGCTATCATGGACTACAACAGCAATGCTTCAGATCAGAAATGCATCACTTGCCAACAAAAGCTGAAATATGTTCCTGAAGATGTTGAAATTAGAGAGTGTCTAAGCTGCTTGGTAAAGAACAAGAAATTTAATAAGAAAGCCTGCACGAGGATTAACTGTGAATTGTACCTGAAGATCCATCAGATTAGTATAAGACATAAGTTGATATCTCTGATATGTACAAATACTTTATTGCCATTTTTAAGCAAGTTTGGAAACCTTTCAAATTCATTGATTAAATCTTTCGTTAATGAGAACAAAGATTTCTTTGAGGAAGATGTTGTCTTTCTTGACTGGATCCATGTCCTTGAGATGGCTGTCAAGTTTGAGAATGAAGATACAGAGGCTATGCCAACTAGAGGCCCACACAGGAAAGCTCTTATAGCCTCTGGCTCTATCTCTCCCGAGAAATCCAAAACTCCTGGAAAGCATGAGAAGTCTAAGAAAAATCATGAAAAATTTAAAGAGCTGAGCAACAAAGCGAAGGTTAAAGCTGAAAAGAGGAGAAGGTTATTCAAAAAGAAGCAAATAGAATATATTTCTTGGAATTATCCAGAAATCGATGAACAGCAGGTCAGAGACTTCATAAATCAGATTACCATCTATGATAATGTAAGGAGAGACACCTCCTTCTTTGATCAGTTGTTTAATACTACCTTTATGCAAACCTCCGAAGAAGGCTTTGACCTGGATAATTATTTAATGACGAAAGAAACCATTTCTCCTGTCTTACTTGACAGAGGAGTTCCTATCTACTTGAACACGGCATCTAGCTCTCTTGCTTTATATGAGAGTTACATGAAGCTTATTAAACCATGAGCAGAGATAAATCTACAAGCCTCTGACCTTGTCAGATGTCTTTTGTTTGATAAAGAAGCAAAACTTGAATTCAGATACGATTCTCCAAATCTCCCAGGAATTCATGCTAAAGAACTGTTTCCAAGCTTCCACCAAAGATTTGGAAGTTGGAGCTCACAGATCAGGCCTGAGGTAAAATCCCAGATGATTGTTGAAGAATTCCAGGACTGAATCGGAGAAAATCTTCTAAAAATTGAACCTATTGATACTTTCTGGATGACAGTCCCTGGTTTCCTTCTCTCAGCCTCCACAAAGCCAGCCATTGAAGAAGAAAAGGATGCTGAAATGGAAGATATCGAAGAGTGTAAGATAGACACAAAGAAACCCACTCCTGAACCTCTTAAGAGCGAGAGTGAGATTCAACACAAGCACTGGGAAGTAAATATTAGGGAAAAACTAAACCTGAAGAACTACACTAGAAGATATCAAGGTGGCAAGGCTAAAAATAAGGCAAAGAAGGTAAACACAAATCTTGCTGCAATTAGCAACCTCCAGAAAGTCATGAGCCCAGCTGATGCTGATAAGATCATGAGAGATATTAACCTTGAGAAGGACTTTGAACTTGACTACCCAGAGTTGTTGACTAAATATGAGTTCCCAGGTGTCCTAAGACTGAAGAAGAAGTTCATGGTCTGGTTCTGAAATCACATGCATGTTAAAATTCAGCAGAAGAAAAGAGATCTTGAGGAAAAGAGAATTCAACGTGAGGAGAGAGAACGCCTTAATAGACTTAGAGAGGAAGAAGAATATGAAGCCAAGGCTAGAAAAGATACTTCCCAAGTAGAAATACAAAAGCCTAAGGGGACTACCAATGTCGAAGATATAGATATTGATGATTTAGACCCACTTGAAGATAATCCATCTAAAGTTTTGAAATGCTCTTTCTGACAAAGATCTGGCCAAAGAGAGAAATCAGGAAGGCTAATTCCTTTCAGAGCAAACCAGTTTGTCCATACCAATTGAGCTATTTGGACTAATGATGTTTTTGATAACAAAGACGGACATATTCTGAACTTCTATTTCTCATACAAGAAGGCTAGATTAACCAAATGTGTCATATGCAACGAACTTGGAGCCTCAATCTCCTGAGAAAGAGGAAAATGTGCAGCTGTTTATCATTTCCCATGTGCTCTCAAGAACGGGTGCTATTTCACCTTTCTTCACAAGACAATTGTATACTGTACAAGTTGTAGGGCTTTGTACAGAGATAAGGACAAGAAAATGTATGGAAATTTCCAAGAGATGATAGACTACTCTAGACTATTCGACACAAAGAGGAGGCTCTACATAGTCAAAAATAAAGAATTTGAGACAGACTACAACAAGAAAGAGAAGGTCGAGATTGACACATGGAGACCGTTTTTCTATGATTCCTTCAACAGAGTCGGAAATTGTACCATTTTGAGCCTCTGTGAGAATGCCGATGCTCTTATTAAGGTCATAAAGGGTGAATCATTTTCTTTACACAACGCCTCAACATCGGTGAGTTCTTTCTTGAACAATTCACATCACCATCTGAGGCCATATACATCCTTGAGGATTTATTGGAAAATTGCTAATAACACTCATATTCCAGATGAAGAGTTGATCCAAGGGTCTAACATCTGCAGGGATAGATCCAAATCCTTCTATTTATGCTGTAACGACCAAGTGTCCATTGTTGAGAAGAAAGATATTAACTTACTCAGAAAGAATACCTCTGACACCATCACCCAGAGACTGTGGGGAAATCACAAAATGTTATCAAAATTGAGACTGAAGGAGATCTGTAGAGACGACGATGAAGAAATGATGCCTGACTTAAGAGCCCTTAATGGTGATAAGTTCTGGGATTTACTCACTTGTTTCATCAAAACTTCAAGACCTTCCTTTAATTTCGCAAATATTGACTTTAAGTTAAAGACCTTCACTTGCGAGGAGAAGTTCCCTGTGAACTTCTGGAATACTGCTCAGGCAGAGACCAAGAACAAACTGCTCTCTTCAGTAGATTCCCATTGGCTATTAGCCCAAAATTATGACAAGATGGATAAATCAAATTTCTGCTCGGATCTGTTCCTTGAGAATGTGATTAAGATAAATCATGGTAAAGAGAAGATTTCATCGTTATTCTCAAAGTCTCAGAAGGTTGTTCAGCCAAGGACTAAATCTTCCCATCATGCTAACCTTGTCACTGCAGCTGAAGGACAAGAAGACTTGTATGGAACTGTGACTGATCAGAGAAACTTGCCGATGAGCATGAGGTATAGGAAATACACAGACCATCCTAGTAAGGTCTGGGTCGGACCTTCCAAGATCCATTGCCAAGGCCTCTTCGCAATAGAACCTTACTCCCAAGGTGACATCGTTATTGAATATGTCGGAGAAATCATTGGCAATGAAGAAGCTGATAGAAGAGAAATTTATTATGAAAAGAGCGGAATGTCTGACTGTTACCTGTTCAGATTAAGTAGCGATGAAATTATCGACGCGACCTACAAAGGAAACGCTGCTCGTTTCCTTAACCACAGCTGTGATGCCAACTGCAAGGCCAAAATAGAAGTGATCAGTGGACAAAAGCATATTCTAATCTTTGCCAACAGAGACATAAGCAAGGGCGAAGAGCTTACTTATTTCTACAACTTCGCTGTGGAAGCTGAGAAGATTGAATGCTTATGTGGAGCGCCAAACTGCTTAAAGAGATTAAACTAATTGTGCCAAATCTTCAATTATTCGGCTCATTTATGGGGTTTTGGGGTTTTGGGGTTTTGGGGTTTTGGGG